AATGAGGTGATTAACTATATCATTACTGAAGAACAAAATTAACAGATGTATTACGCCAAGCTTTCATAATCATAGATCATGCAGTGATACAGGTCTTTCCAATGGGTTCTCACACACACACACACACACACACACAAACTGTAGGTACAACATGAAATAACAGGAAAGATCAAGACCTCAGCACCACCAGAGCAGTGACCACAAAAAACTTGCCGTTTCCCTTTTATTATCCCATCTGAAAGCTGCAGGTAAACCAGCTCATTCTTCTGTTTACCATACCTTAAAATTCAGGCTGTAATTTATAAAGTCCATGAAATATTTATACACTTGTTTGAGGATGTTTGTTCAGTTGAACTTAAAGATTGCTCTGTTGTCAAAGGAATGATATGTTGGTCACGGATAAGTCTGACATGATCTGCAGATGGTGCATGTTGCTTGTCTATCTTTCCACAAACAGTTTACAAGAGTTGGTGGAGCCCAACAGTGCCTGTGGTCTCTGGGATAAGGTTCTCATGAAGGTTTCTGGCTGCAGAGGTTGGAGTGGGATGGAGAATCTTTCAAAGACAAATAACCAAAGACCCAACAATTTGCACTTGCTTGAAGGTTAATATGTTCAGCATAAGCCTGTGTTTTAACATTGTGATGGTGACATCCGGGAGTATATATATTTGGAAATGTATTGCTTAAAAAGTGTGAAAAACAACTTCTTAATATGCATGTAATTAGTTTTCTGCATAAAAAGTGTGAATCACAGCTTTTTAATCTGCATGTATTTCGTTTTCTAAGCAACAGTGATTTCATTAATACTCACAGAGAACAGCTTTTTTCTTTAAGTTATTTATTTTTATGTTACTGCAGACATCAGAAGTGTTTGTCTTTAGGTGTCATTTGATAGCGATATACTGGACATTCATTGCTATTTTTTTGACTGCTACAATCATCCAACTTGAACCTATTTACTTATCAAAAATTCTCCCCCACAATATTCTGAAAAATTCTTGTATCTAGTCTCTCCAAGAACTACAAAAGGGGCCCAGATGCATTAGACTTTACTTTCTAACTAATATTTTATCAAATGCAACAGCCCCATCTAGTGAATGATTTTTAGCCAGAAAAATATTCAGTGCAAATTAACACAAATCGGTGACTCTGGGAAGGGTTTCCACAAGATTTTTGTGTGAATTTTTGCCCATTCATCCAGAAGAGTTTACACAATACAAGTGGAACCTAAGACACAATCACAGAAATTTGTAATTCATGTACTGTAGCAGATCTTTTTACATCAGCAAAAGCAGACATTTCCTGCTTTGGACTCTGGAATTTTATAACACCCTGCAAAACATTTCACACAGTTCTACATTAGCCACAACACTCAAAAATTAAATGTATTGTGATCATTTAGAAAACATTGTCATTCAAAAGCCCACAGCTATATTTACAATGGCAACACCCCCCCTCCCCCATTATTCAGGCATTTAGAAATGAGAACAAGTGAATTACATTCTATCGTATTCTACTGTATCCTTATTACAGAACTACTTATTAGTAGGTCTGTGCTCCACAGCGAAGCAAAAGAGCCAATTTTTCTTATCATATTTCTATATTATATACACTGCCCGGCCAAAAAAAAAAGTCGCCATTTGAATTTATATCAGCAAATACTCAAGAACCAATGACTGGATCATTATTACAGCTCAGCAACGTTATGCAGCAATAAAGTAAAGTCAGCGGATTACCTGAATCTACTGAATGGCCTGGTTACACCTCCATCCATCATCAATGGATTTTTTTCTTCCCAGTTGGCATGGGCATATTCCAGGACAAGAATGCCAAGATTCATTGGGTTCGAATTATCAATGAGTGTTTCAGGGAGCATAAGGAATCATTTTCACGCATGACTTGGTCACCACAGAGTTGTGACCTTAACCTCATTGAAGGTCTCTGGGATGTGCTGAAGGAGGCTTTATGGAGTGGTTCAACTCACTACCCACTCAATACAGGATCTCGGGTGAGAAATGAATACAAATCTCGATGAAAATAAAGGGTGAGATGTTGCTTAAGCCTGTGGAAACAATGGCATGACAAATGTGCACCATAATCAAAGCTAAAGGCGGTCCAACGAAAAATTGAAATGGCGACTTTTTTTTTGGCCGGGCAGTGTAAATACAGGTACACACACATCCTAACTAATCAGATCATAAAATAGCCATCGTAAATATGGTTCTTTGCCTGAAACAATTCAGACTGTTTTTGATAAGATTAATCATGTCAGTGAATCAACACTGACTCACATCTTACAGAGAAACCAAATTACGATGAAACAGCTATACAGAGTGCCATTTGAAAGAAACAGATTCAAAGTATCGTATTCTATCGGCACTACATACACTCATTACATTCCAGTACTGTAATCCAGTGTATAGTGCTCTACCATATTAACTGATCTAGGTTCACTGTATATTGTCGCTGTATATTGATCATTTTTGTGTTTTGAGCCCTTTCAATAAGTGTACAAAGTTTTGTTAATAGCTACAAAAACAAAATATTGGTTCAGCATTTTCAGTTCATGGCAAGTCTTACACACCCCTTGGTGTTCCATATTTCTTAATGAGCAAATTTAAATTAATATTTGAATATCCACATATGCACTTCACTCTCACTTAAAGTCATTGGTGCCCTGAATGTCTATTCATAGCACAAATTATCTAATAATTCTAACACTAAATGAGGCAAACATGTCCTGTGCAAAGTGTGCTTGCACAACTGAACAATGGACTATGGGGGACAATGTCTACCCTTTGTTTTTCAGATTTTGTATGTATATACATTTATTATTAATTACACTGTCCATTCAATCAGCAATTGGACAATAAATAAATCGTCTAATAACTCCGGAACTAAATGAGACAAACATGGCCTGCAAAGTGGGCTTTGAACAGTGGACTATGGGGGACAATGTAATGCACATGGATTTAGGTCTATAAATATTTAATAACAACTAGAAAGGATGCTGTCAGGAGGACAGTAATGTATTCCTCAGACATCCCAGCAACCAACCCCCAATTTATTCCCTATACCTTTCATACCTCCCAACCTCTACAATTTCTAGAAGCACTGGATGGATCAACTGGAAATGTGAAAGCTAATAAATGTATTTTTACTCAAATGTTCTAGTCATGTTACATATCTCTGTAACTATACCTATTGATTTATTGGACTATTGAACTTGCATGCAATTTGCACAATCTATCCCTAAAAATTATGTGGTTACCTGTATTTCTATCTGTATGTCTATCTATATTTTACAATTTCATTTTTATTCTTTATCTGTCTAAATATCATATACAATTTATTTCTGATTAGCAATAGACCCACTAGATGGCCACTCTGTCCCATTACCAAGGACCTCTTTTCTCAGAATGATCACGCCTTAATGACAATCTTTATGATTATACTGAATATATTGTCATACCAAAGCACAGCGTTTAGTTAGTGTAACAGTGAACGTTCACCTTACCTTTTGAAAGGCAGAGACTTCGTCCAACTATTCACATGTTTTTATGTGTGGATGATTCCCATTGCAATAATGTGTTATGAATTAGTGTCCTAATTCCTGCATTCTTTGAAATATTAGTGTTATCTACTGAACACAACTATCTAGGCTTGTCTTGCTTCAATTCTGCTGTCTTCATGTATTTGATTTGAATGTTTTAGTATATATGAATGTGGAACAAAGTCTGTCTGGTAAAAAAATGAGTGTTTTTTGTTATTGCAGTAATCAGGTTTCTCGCAGGTGTGTAGATACGTTATGAGAACTTTCATGCATTACCATGTTTAGACGGCAGATACAGTTCAACCTTCTTACCTGCATGTGCAGGTTATACCGGCCTCGTCTGTGTCCCGCACTTTCATTGGCACAGGTAACTTGTCACCACCAACAGTGCTCTGATCCAGTTATGCAGGGAAAGGAGGAGCAGGATCCCCTTAGAACAGCCCCCCAGGAAAGATGCCTCTCTACCTCATCTGCCCACTATCTCACACCCAGCAAAGGTCTGATGCTCTTGTATACAGCACATTCGTCCAGTGTCATCCACAGCAATTACTTGAAATTTATCTACATCTTGTTCAAGGGTATAAAAAGCAATTGTAACCCATGTTCTCTGAATGGCTTTCCTATTTTCCACAGTGAATGTTTAAATTTATCCAGAAATATATCTTACAGAAGATGCCTTGTGTCAAAATGACGCTCAGAGGAATGTAGGAACCAAATAGCAGATCACAAATAAAGATCTGTTTTAAGCTGATCTACAAAAACAAAAAAATATAGATTCAACAGGAGTGTCATTGAAATATGTAAATCTGACATCTCACAAATAACATGGAACATGTGAAAATTGAGCTTTGTATTTATATAGTGAACTGACGATATACATTTGTTTTGTTGTTGTCGTTTGATGGTTTCCATTCATCCATCCATCCATCCATCCATCCATCCATCCATCCATCCATTCATCCATCCATTTTCTACACCCATTTGTTCTATGCAGGCTCACAGAAGTCCAGAGCCTGTCCCAGAAGCTATGGGCACAAGGCAGGGAATAACCCAGGATGGGGCACCAACCCACTGCAGTGCACACTCACACGCCGTTCACACCTACGGACAATTTGGCAACTCCAACTCACCTTAGCCTGTTTTTGGACTGTGGGGGGCAAGCGGGAAAGCTGCAGGAACCCCCCTGCCAGCACAGGAAGATCTCCACACATGTAGACCTGGGGTAGAGACTCCAGTGCTGGTTCCAGAGGTGAGGCATCAGGGCCAACCACTGCACCACCGAGCCTCCCCGAGTTTTATGGTTTATCATTTGAAAATACATGTCACAGCTCAACTTAGTCTCAGACTTCTTCACTCAGCTTAATAACTGGTTTGCCCTCTATAAAGCAAACTGAAATAAGAGACAAGTGGGAAGTAATTAAAAATAATCACAGAATACCCATTTTAGTTGTGTTCACTCAATTCTTAATTTCCATATTATATTGATGTCATACATACATAGCATTGACAAATGGAATAACATCGGTGCCACTTGAGAATAAATACAAGCAGAAGAAAACATGTTGTAGTAACATATAAATAAGGATTAAAAAAGAATGACAAATGAGATGTACAGATTTCTCCTTAAGCTTAAACATCAAGCAATTTGAGGAGCCAACAGGGTGTATGAAGCAGGTCTAGGCAGTGCATTTCTGGCCACAAGGAGGCGATCTCTCTCTTTAAAAGGCACCATTGCATACTCCTCTCATTCTGTCTCACTGCCTCAGTTGCAGCCATGCAACTGGCCCTATAACTGCCTGTCATTTCTGCTGGTGGATGTACATGAAGATGGAAAACCGTCCCGGGGCTCCAACATCCAACCAAACCAGTGCAACTTCATGAGCCAAACAGCATGAAGCCACTGGAAGCAAAACTAGACATTTAATCCACATTCTCCATTACCACTCCACTACAGGGAGCAAAAAAAGAAAGGAATGTAAACAAGCATAAGAAACCTACAGACAATATTAGTGCAGAAAGACTATGCATATCCTTCTGCTTAAGTGTCAATTAAATATACATTTTTACAAAAAATTAAAAAATGTACAACCAACAGTAGTAGCATTAAAATAAATTAAAATACCGACAGAATAAACAAAATTAGTAAATATCTCCCCTGCTTCTCAGAGATGATCTGATAAGGCTTTAAACTGATCTGAACAGAGTAAAGGAAGATTTTCTACTTGGAATGAAAGGAAAAAAATGTATTGGACGAAATTTGCCAAAATAAACGATTTCTCCTTCCAGAAGAAACAAATACTTGAATGCTTTCATTTTACCTTTACTCTGCTTTATCAGCTTACCAACCTTAAGGCCCATTTCACCACAATCTGCCAAGTGAAGATAATGATTGAAGCAGAAGATTTTATACAAAATAAGCCACTTTCTCCCTAATTCTGCTCATGATGCAGATACGAAGTTGTACAGCTATGGAGGCCTAAAGCATAGCAACTGACCCACTAAAAGTGCAACAAATTGCCTTAATGGCATTTTCTCAAATTCCCAACCAGGACCCCTATGGTTCTATTTAGCATCTTTAACCAATGCTGTGAACTTGGCTACAGCTAAACAGACACATTACATCATGATGAACAGTTACTGTGTTAGTCAATAAATAAATGCAATGCAACAAATTGGATACACGTCGTCTTCTTTGTTTCCCAGTCTACCCACAGCACTGCAGACTATGGGGCGAGTTATTGTGGTGCTGAAAGTCAGGCAGAGGAACATCCCAGGAAAAAAGTTTTGGACAGTTGAAGCAGAGCATTTGTTTTGGGAGACATGCAGACAAATTCATCCCTTTCTGAAAGTTCTGTGTTGTCCTTCCGAGGAACGAGAGATAGAGGACAGAGAGGGAGTAAGCAGCTGTTTATCTATCTGGAGTTTCGATTCTAGCTGAGAGGCCGTCAAAACCCCATGTTTTACAAACATACTTCTAGTGGAAAGTGATACACCTTCGGCAACAGAAGCATCTCCTTCAGATAAATGAACTGATTTATGGAACACAAACAGAGAAACGAATGCATGGTTTTCAAACCAGGCTGTGTCACTAAAACATCCAGCAGCACAACTACAGGGGAAAGGTATGTCGTTTCACAGAGTGTTCAAAAGGAGTGCCAGGCTGATCTGTTTACTGAACACAGAGGCCGTAACTGACCAAAGGCTTAGTTATGCCGTGATTGACTGGAGACGCATATCTGGTCTATGATTCCATTTTTACTCCTTGTTTCAGTTCATACCTTTTCCCTAATGCAACACAATTATGAAAATGCAAATCCTCTGTTCCATCAAAGTGAACCTTGTTTTAAAGTGAATGAGGCTGACTGAAAGTGCACCAAAAAACTTTGGCTCATTGATGCAAAAACACATCCGGAAGAACGACTACTCACTCTGGACATTTATTGTTCTTAAAATTTGTTGGGTAACTGAAATATATTGAGCATGACTCAATAGATTTTGCATATAATACTTTACAGAAATATTTCCATTTTTCAAAAGCCACTAATTCTAATCCATGTTTGTTGCATTAATAACAACAATTTGACGGTGGGTAGATTTTGTAGCCGTACCTTATCCAACTTTCATACAAACTGGCTTCCAGATAAACCTGGTCTCTGTGCTTAAAAAATAAAGATTTTGGAAATCCTGAAAATCTGATCAATAGACTACTATTTCCATAATGCATCACAAACTTCCCCAGAGGCTTTTAAAAACCCAGTCCATTTAAAAAGCATAAATACTGACACAGACAGGTCTTTATATATATATATACATATATAAAGACATCTCTCTTTCCAAATAGAATACTTTTGAGGGCATTCATTCAGTTGCAGTCAGGATGAAGGAAAAAGTGTGTGTGAGTGTGTGAATGAACACGTGTTATTCTGGGTGACCCAGAACTGCCTAAACTTACTGCAGACTCCTCCAAATCCTTGTGCAAACAGTAGAATCTGCTTCGGGGCCAAGTGCTTGTAGAAGGTAACGGTGTCTAGCTGTTGTTCAACATTGGTGGAGGATGTCTTCTTCATTGCTTCCTCCTACACCCATCTGGAGGACCTCAGCGTGTGCCGCTGGGCTTCCCGGACAGCGAAGCGTAAACGATGGGTGTGGCGTGGGTGTGATCCTCCGGTGAGCGGTCCTCCCAGTCGGGCTGTGCACAAGCCATCACTCGCAGCACATTTCCCCGGCCGAAGCTCAAGTGCCCGGGGTCTATGGCAGTATGGTGATGGTGGTTCTGCATTACCCTAGGAGACCACAAAAAGGGCAGCTTGGTGCCAACTGCATCCACAATCATAAACCTGAAACATAATATATTAGCCATCCCATGATTAGCACATAATTTCATATACACATTGGCAGTAACAAAGTTAAAGTTTTCTGCGTACCTCTGACCACACAAAACAGCAATGGCTTAGCACCAGAATACTTCAGAAAAGTATGGATTCCAAATTACAAGATTAAAAATGCAATTGTTTGGATTACTTGAAATGTGTAAATTAATCTGATTACAATTGGATTACGTCTATACATTGACCAGAGCTAATTGGTGTTACTAATTTCACAATACGGTTGGGTGATATAAATGATATATTGATTAGTCATCATATATCATTTAAATGATAAAAAATGAAAGACTTCTGACTTTGCAGCTGTTCTGATATCTTGCATTTATCCCCTTTTGGTAAGGTTTTATAATATGGCTCTTGGATTAAACTGTGGCGTTTTATTAATATTTTTTTTACTTTTGTTTGATTTACAGACCTATCTGTATACCATCAATGTCCAAAAAAATCCAGTTAAAAATAATAAGCTTTTCTGCTGATATTTTCCTGTAGGTGATAAGTAATTGATGATGCTGTTGCTATATTTTCAATATTAATTTTGCTTATCCTGAAGTACTACCTTAAATGGTCATTGTACAGTCGGGCTGAACAATTTATCGATTTCAAATCGAAATTGCAATTTGGAACAACATGATAAGCAAATCTCAAAGACTGTGGTTAAGGATATACTTTACACCAGCGATTGTAAACCCATGGATTACGACCCAGATTTCGGTCTTGGCAGGTTCAGAAAAGGTTGCGAGGCAGAGTTGGAAATGTAAGCTTATTAAAACCAGCAAGCTTCTATGCTGATCAGATTTTCCAGCCCCAATCCTAGAATTAAACTATATAAATGGGTCGTGGGTCTGAAAATGCTTAGAGCAAAACTAGTGAACACTCAATAAATCCAAGAAGCCAGACCACAGATGCTTAATTTAAAATTCACTGGCACATCCATGAGATTTGTGCGACTACTTCACATATTTGTGCATAATAATTATATTAATAAACTGGATTTTAGCGATGCAAAGATGTTAGAAACAATGCAACACAAATTTATCCCAAATTGTATCCAGCACACAGTTTTCAAATTGGAGGCAATCGCATTGTGAATTTCTATGCTGGGACACTGGATGCGAATACTGAACTGTAGCTTGACGAAATCGCTCAGCTATATTGTAAAGTTTAACTTCTTGACTCTCTTTTAGAATTAGATGTATCCGCTATCTGTGCTCAAATGAAATGATAAAAATGTGCTGTCACTGCTGCTAGTGCTTGTCGCCAGTTTGAGTTTCTTTAGGTAGGCAAACATTTCTGTCAGCTGAGAAAATATTGCATTGTGATTGGTGTGAAAATTTTTGATACTGTACGTCAAATTCACATACAAATAATTTAGCAAATTCGTGTAGTTTTTTTCATGTTGCGTTCAGTGTGATACAGCTTTTAGCCTCAGGTTTTCAAGTCTGATGTTGCAACCGATGTTGTAGAGCGAATAGCTTACTAATTTAGGGTTACCACTGAATCACTACCAACCCCCACTGCTTGGTGATTCCATTAGATTCCATTAAGTAACGTTAGAAATAAATACTATGACAGCACATTGATTTACTGCCGTCATTCACCTGGTTGACACTAAATGTGGTATTATAGAAAATTAGTTAAAATTAAGAAAATGAACACCCTTCATATAAAAAAATTCAACACTGCCGTGGTATAAGTCCGCTTATTTACCGTGGAGGTGGTTGCCACAAAGCCTGTGTTTCTAGCTGCTGTGATGCAGCTGCCACCTGCTTCTGAGGAGAAGCTGGAGGATGGAGCTTCTTTCCTGCCCCAACTGTCTGTGCCATGAAGTCCAACACTGATTTGTCTAGACTCAGCCACTCAGATGGAAGTCTAGTGGATTTAAAAGGAAAGCAAGAAGTATTAATTTATTGTATAAGCTAATACTGGCGATCTGCACGCATTCTAAAACATCTCTGACCTGTTCTTCTGAGACCGGGCCACATGGCGTTCTGTGTTGTTCTGAGTTCGTTTGGGGGGACCAACTGTGGCTCCAAATAGCCGGCCCCAGCGCATGCCTTGTGGGAGCTCCTCTTGGGCCCCCATTACTCCTCGCTGTCCTTCAGGCTCCTTGTCTTCACTCTTCTTCAACTCATTCAGCACAGACTCGGGGGGGCTTCCCATCCAGAAGGGCTTGCCTCTGGCCTTGGAGTGGGAATCATTGTTGGCTTTTGGAGCATCCTTCTCCTGAATCGCCTCGGCACCTTCCACCACACCTTCTCTGAGTGGTGGTGGCTGGTTCTGCTGGCGTAACCCTAGATCCTCCACCCCCCTGGCACCCTGACACTCCCCTGCGGGTTTCTTTCTTTTTTCCCACTTGACAAATTTCGATCCCTCGGTAGAATTGTCAATGTATACCTGTGAGCTCTGCATTAGCTGGTACCACCAACCTGCTTGTCGGTCACGTGACTTTGCCCCACCAATGAAGTGAGGTTCTCTCTCTGTCTCTCCCTCTCGCTTGACTTCCTCTCTGCCGACCCCAGTAGCTCTCAATGCACTCCAAGGTGCCCCTTCCCTGCTATCTCCCCAAAGATCTGCTCCTCTCTTCGGCAGTTTCTGTTCTCCTTCGGTCCTTCTTCGATCCTTGGCTTCAAGCTCTATTCTATTGCCCTCGATGCCCTCTTGAGACAGCCCAACTGCTTCCTTCCTCTGCACTATGCCATCTTTCCTTGACCTTGCTCCTTCCATCATAGACCAAGCCTCTTTATTCCATAATCCTACCCTCTCCTTGAGCCTGGTGTCCAATACTTCAGACTTTGATTCCAGCCCCAAGCCTCGCATGAGTTGGAACGTAGAGCGCATGGAGCCATCTAAACCTTGGCCCGTGGAGCACAGCTCTTTCTTGTTGCGTTGGTGCTCCTGGCCCTTCCGAACCAGGCGTGGCTCAAAAAGCAGGTCCAGATCAAAGGGCAGTAGAGATAGAGGTTGGAGCAGCAGTAGCAACTCTTCAAAGAGTGGATGGCAGGTAGCCTGAGAAAGAAGCAGGAAGCCCCAGGGGTGGTAGTGTGCCGACACAATATCTGGAGATTGGATGAGAGGATACGGACTCAGCACACACATCAGCATGAAGCAAGTGTATACCTCAAATATCATCTTAACCTTCTTACCTTCATGGGTATACAGATGGTTGAACCAAAATTCCAAAGATCGCAAGCTGAAACATATAGAACATGTATCTAGCAGCGTTCAAATAACATCGTCTATGTCAAACTAAGATTATCCCTACATTCATAACGTAATATACATCATATTTCAGTTTTAAATAGACAGAAGATGGACTTTTCCAACAGACAGCAACAGAGGCCTCTAATCTGTTTTAAATAGCTAGCGGAGAGTGACTCACAATAAAGTATAAAAAAAAGCAATGGAATTTCTAAATAGACTGGTATGTGCGTTGCATAGATTTGAAACAAAAAAAAATAGGAACAAACACTCACTTGAGTAAGCCAAAGACGAAAGCGTTGAACCTCATGCTGTGGTTTGTGAGCTCTGAGTACTGGCTGACCTTGGAGAACAGGTTGTGGAGTACACGAGTAGAGGGTCCTAGGAAACAATATGGGTTGTGGTCATGAATACTAGAGGACAATTTCCATAAGTCTGTGTTGCACTATAGATACTTATACAAATCACAGTCAGTGCTTATTTTTCAGAAACCTGGTTGAGTGGAGGCTTCCACCACACTCCAGGGGACGTTTCGTCGCTGTCCGATGATCAGGTCCAGTACATAGGCTCGCAGGCCATCTTGTAGGATGCCACGGATGGCAGGACATAGGTACTTCAGAATCAGGTGACCCACATTGGGGCTGACTGAACTGTTCCCTAGTTTGGCCTAGCAACACATAAAGGAGGCAGGTGTTATTGAAAAACCTGAAAAACTCAACTAATAAACACTCAAAACCATGAGTTTTGATGAGATTCACTGGAATCGGCAACATGTACATCTTAGAAAAGGACTTGAAGACCAAATTACTAATGGGAATCTTAATATCTAAGCTAAATTTGAACATATTAGTGGTACTATTATTGTATTAACTCAGCAGAGCTTTGTCTGAGGGTGATCACAGGACTGTACCTTCACTCCAGGGTCACGGCTGGTGCCAAAGTGAGCCACTATCAGATCTACAGCTGTATTTATGGCTTTCACCAGACCTGAAAGTCAGAAGATTCAAAAGAGGCTTATTTCTTTGGTAAATAACCAAACCCATACCCAATACCCAAGATACAGAATCTCCCAGCAAAACTGGATTATAACAATCTGATCTGATCACCTATTGAACACAAAGGCAGTACAAGTCTGTCTGTGTGTCAGCCCCCTTTTCCTCACTTTAAAAATTAACGTGTCCTTGCTTTTTCAGGCATATTCCCAAAATACAGTCACACGAAAGCATGTGCACAGAGAGACTGGATGGGAACACAACAATGTCACCCAATTAAATAATCTTTCTGGACATGTTGTGAAGCAGTGGTTCTGAAGGGCACATAAAGCTGTTGGTAATATGACAGGAAAATACAATAAAAACAATACCTAAAAAAGAAAGGACAGAAATCATAAAGCACTACATTACATGCTACTGAGTGTGGATTCAGCACATTCACAAGCACAGAGAGTCTGCTGATTCCCAAGAGATAGCTATCATGATGCCAGCCAATCAGAGGCAAGGAGAGATAAAAGTAGGTCACGTTGGGAGGCCAGACTCAGGGTAGGGAAGGGAGGTGCTGTGGATCTGCCTGTGACCATCCACACATTAATCATTACAAACGCTGCAGTGTATCACACCTAGCTAATGCTAAATACAGTGGTACCTCGGTTCTCTTAATCTGTTCCGGACTCCGGATCAAAGAGCATTTTTTTCTTAATGGCTTCCAAAACGATAAAGATCTTATCCCAAGTTCCCAACATTACCCCTGTAATGCATTGCGACCTCTCACCCGGCTGCACAAACTGGAACCGCCTCCGTGACGACACACCTTTGCCCTTATTGGCTGAAGAGTTTAGTTACACGCATGATGTTTGTATCCCAGGCAGTTCCGATGGGTAATCTGCTATTTCTCCCGAATATCACGTAAAGCAGTGAGAACTGGTTTTCAGTTAATTTACCTGGTAAAATAAAGTTTAAATAAATTACATAAATGCTCTAATAGTACACGTAAGTTAGTGGTTTATTTATTGTTAGTTACTGTAATGTTTTGCTGCTTTTTTGCGACATACAAGCTGAACACTAACGCTGCCACTCAGTTTTTTGCTGCTCAATTGGTGTGAGGGCAGTGACTTCCGTCTGCTGTGACATCATACCCTTCGCTGTAGGAGAAGCGTAAGAACAGCAGATAAGAGGGTGATGACCAGGAAGTATTGTACACTTTGAACAGCATCTAGTAGCACAGCAATATACAGTCTTTGTAAAGAGGGTGGGAGTAGCTAACTAAACAAAGTGCACACAATTGTGCCAGACAACGCGAGTAATATGAAAATGCAATGGATGGTTTGGGAGTTACTAGCTTGGGCTGTTTCATGCACTCGCTACAGCTTGTGTGTCGCAACAAAGTGACACTGTTTTCAGAGGGAGAAAAATGGTGGGGCATTTTAAGGATTCGGCACTTGCATGTGCTCTCTTTGGAAAATATTCAGATTGAACTGCAAATGCCTTAAAAACACAAGATGTACAAATGAGGTGGAAGATTACGTTACTAGTAGCTTAATTACGGATTTTTTGCCATACATTTTTTCATCTGTGTTTACTAGTTTAAAAATATCAATAATATGTAAAGCATAAATAAATCATTATTATATTAAAGTGTTAAAGTAAAAAGAGCTCTTGCATCGGAATCGGATCTGAACTGAAAAGATGTGAATCGGCCCCTCCCTATAAATATGTACAGTATAGCCATGTTTATAATGCTTTATGAATGCATTATAATGCAATATAAATGTGTTTGTAAATTACTAAAAACATGGCTTTAAGTAAAGTGTTACTACATCTTTTCTTCTTTTCAAAAAATGTTACTATCTTGTACTGCAAAATTTACTAGATAAGCTGACCTTAGTATAAACAAATCCATCTATCTATTCATATTATAACTGCATAACTTGGTCAGGGATATGGGGACATGAAAAAATATCACAGTAATGTAAAGTAATAGTGATGCAGCCACTGCATTGATTTGCTGCATCTTTTGGTTGATTTTCTTTTACGTTTGACCTGAGATGAGGATTTCAAATCAACATAACCACACTATACCCCACTGATTGGGTTTTCAAATTGAAACAGTTTTTCTTTACACGCCTAAAAATCAGCGCTAACAAAACAAAGCACCATTAACTGTACATAATTATACGTGCTGTACTTGTATAGGACTGGCAGTGTAGTAGGTTTGTTTACACCAGCATCACCACAAATGAGTGACTAATGCATTGCATTATGACATCATTAAGTGACAGAAATTTTTCAGCTCCATTACAATCTTATGGGACTCACTCATCTCACACACCACAGTTTTACAATCTCTGACCAGTTTTCCTGTGAAGTCTATAAAAAGTTACACGGAACACATTTAAATGTCAGATGGCTGTGATCACAGGATGGTGGCTGTAGGCTCAATTTCTTCTCCCAGCTTCCCTCTGTCTTGCAGTTTAAGTTTTCCAATTTTGAAGAGATTTAAAGGTGGACATTTTCAGGTGTAGGTTTTCATCCACGTAATGTTTTTGTGATGCGATAAGTTCCATCAAAGATCGAATAGAGTAAATGCAGTAATAATAACAAATAAAGTGATCTTGTTCATAAGGACACGCCTCTAATCATCCTTCTCTTTGCAAAGACTGTGCTGCTCTGTTTCAAAATATGACTCAAAATATGATATTCCCCAATCTCCATTTTGGATTTCTAGACATTCGGTATAAGACAGTATTTAGAAAACAAACAAAAAAAACCCTGAATCATGTAGGCTACTTTAAGCTCCAGAATCAGAGATAGCCTAAACGAGCCAATCAGTGTGGAAGCTGAGAGCTATGGAACCAGAAGACAACTCCTTGTTGAAGAATTAAAAAGATCACCCTTCATTTTCTGATACCGCTCCACTTTTTCATTGTCACAGAACACACCAAGTAACCACGCAGCGCATGAGAAACGTAGCTACTCAATCTACTAACAATAGCGTAAATATAGACACCCAAGGCAATATCACTGCAAAAAAATATACTAAATATTAGTACTATGTAGAAATGGTCACCATAAGCAAATTATTTCTTTTCCACTTCCAAAAAAATCTTCTGTTGGCTAAGTTCCCTCTTGTAATCAGGTTATTTTAGATTTGTATTTTCTATTTTCCATCAGTTAAGAAAAAAAAAAAACAGTTGCAACTTCTATGTTCACAAATATTTTCATTGTAGAACGAACATTAAACGAACAGAATGAGCTCTGAAGGTGCATGCTGTGCACTTTAATGCATCACCTCAATGCGGCATCTATGAATCATTAACTAGAAAGGGAGTGTCTGTATTTTTCAGTGTGCTAAAAATAATACCTTCTGGATTTCTAAATTCTGGGGTATACTGTAATACTATCATACTGCCCAAGCTTACTGGGGAATTCAATAACTTGAAACCTTTTCTTTTGACCATCTAAAGCCTGGAACACACCAAATCGATTTTTGCCCAGCAGAACCCATCGGACTAGGAATCGGTACCTGCATATCAAGCTGGTGTGTGATACATCGAAGTAAGTTGGTAGAATTTAGTTCTCGGACTGGGCTACACATTAACCAACGCCTCTGGTCATGCATGTGTGTCTCAATGCGTATTTTCCAATAACAGGAGTGGATGGGAGCCAATTGTTCATCTGCCCTGGTTTGGTGCTAGTTTTTGGCAGTTAGGACTTCAGAATTTCAGTACTGTAGGTTTTTTAAACACCAAAAAAGGTCAAAGTAATACATTGTCACTTTCATTTAGTTATAAAGTGACAGCTATTTGCAAAATGTTAATATCCATAAGAATTCCTGACTGTCCTGTATATCATCTTAAGCATCAGGCTGGTCCTACAGCTTTATACCGTCATTTAGAGCAATCTTGACTGGCGTCTCACCTTTTTTCTGCAGCAGGTCGATGGAGATGGACTCTGAGGTGGCGTCAGGCGACAGACAGAACTCCTCCGGAGGCTTCTCTGTCAGGGAGAAGTAGTCGGGGAAGAAGTCGCCGTAATAGTGCTGTTTCGTAGACTGACCTAAGGGTACATACACAGACCATTAGACACTTGCGCACACACATACACAGTGGAATGTCGATGGGCACCACAAATATTTTATTATGGTTAAAACAACAGGGAGACGGTCAAGACTGGTGATTACAATGTGCCAACAATGACAAACCTCCAGTCGTTTTCTGGATTTCCTTATTAATTAGGATTAATTAGATTTAAAATTACAGATGAAGTATTAAAGGCCCATTCTAACCATCACCTCTTTTATAATAAATTCTAAAATGAATGATTCTTCCAAAGCAAAGTCAGCACACACACACAAGCCAATGACACTGAGAAGACAGACAAAGCCACACAAAGAAGACAGAAATGTCCCCCTGCCCCCCCCCCACACACACAGGCTGACAGTCAGCACCATTAGATCGGGCTTGAGCGAGGCTAGACGCCGTTGGGAAATCAAACACGTTGCGGCGAGGGAGGCTGCCGCGGCCCCCCCGGGCATCTAGGCTGCCGGACAGGGTGGGGCCAGCCCTCTCCCCCCCCAAGGGGTTCTTACGACGGTACTCCCTCCACTTCAGGGCCTGTGGGGACAGATGGTGGGCTGGCGTGGAAAGGACCGTGAGGAGAAGCGGGAACCACATTGTGGCAATGGCAGACAGAGAGGGTGGGGAAGGAAGACACCCCATGGGGGGGGGGACGTAGAGAGGGAGGGACACAGGACGTGGCAAGGAAAGCAGACATACAGAGACGGGTTAGAAGACAGCAGAAAGGGACAAGCATCTTATATAGATAATATAGATATGCACCAATAAAACTCACCTTTCAATGTATTATACAATCCTCAAATTATGAATAGTTCAAAGTTATTGCCTATCGTTTCAAAACATGCTCAATAAAATTTATACGATGAGGAGAGACAGAGTGGACATACAGTGGAACCTCGGCTCGTCAACTTAATCCGTTAGAGATTCAAAAACTAAATCAACTAGGTACGATAAGAAGTAATGTTAACTGGATTAATTCGTTCCAGACCCCTAAATGATTGCCTGTTATAAACTTGTATAAATACATACCTAAGGTTAAAACCATAGATAAAAACTTTAAAACCAATAAATGTTTTTTGCCATTCCAAACTCTGTAGCGAGATCAGAGACGTGGGCACCTCTATCATACTTTGCAATTATTTCCTTTTAAACTCTATTGTGGTCCTTTTAGGTTTGCTGCTATCACTAACCTTCTTAGGACCCATGATGGCTTATTTAAAAACAAAATAAGACCAACAAAAGCAAAAAAAAAGCATGAGAATATTCACTGCACAATTCGGCGTAGATGTTCACTAAGTGAGTGCCTTAGCGATAGACTGACTCATACGTACGCATTTTCTCCTTTGTTTATGCATAAAGAGACATGCTTTGCCAGACAGTTCCAGGGGTGGTTGGTCAAGAACTGAAAATATGTTCGAGAACCAAGACATTTTTTTTACAGAACAATGAATTATGCAAGATGTGAGACATTTGAGAACCAAGCGTTCCACTGTATTATTAGCTGCTGTACAAGAAGCAAAGAAACAGACGGTAGGTTTAAACAGAAAGAAACAGAAAGAGACACAGGGGGAACAAAGGAACCTTCTCAAACACCTCTGAATGTTAAGGATAAATAGGACTGGGCAGCATATTGGTAAAACGTATCGTGATTATGAAAATTCCTATTGTCATCAATTTGAATAATGTGAGAATCGTAATATAGCTTATACTAGGGTTGCATGATATCGCACTGCAATTATTTGAAATATCTGCGGTTAATATTGCTATATCTATAAAAAAAAAGGAGATGAAATGTATCATTCTACCTGTCACATGCTCAATAAATATTAAGACCAACTGGTCATCATAACCAGAAAAACTCAAAACCACCTGCATATTTTACTGTTTTCTATATATGAATTTTAGAACATTGTGATAAATACAAGTACTGTGAAAATCCCTTAAAATATAAACATTATTGTCTATCATTACAATATGTGTTCAATAAAATTTGTATTTAGGGCATATGGCCCAGCCTTAGCAAGGCAGTCAGAGAAAAAAAAACTATCAATAAAATGTGCTATTGCCGTTTTATTTTATTATGCCCTATGACACAAAAATTTATTAAAATTAGATTTCAGTTTGCTGTCCATTCAATTGGTCGCCGTTTTCCCCGTTCTGAATCTGTTTAAGGGCAATTCTAAGAAAATTTTAAGCAAAAAATTGAGCATTGAAGCAAAGAAATAATGACTTGAATTATATTGAGCAAATTATCAGTATTGTTTGATATTAAATAAATGACCATGATAAATTATTTTGCATATCGCCCAGCCCTAAGAATAAAAAAACAATCACATGCATGACGTTTCTTATCATGCAATCAGGCTTTTAAAAGCCTACCGTTTGGCAGCCGGGGTCCAGCACAGTTGGCCAAAGAGACATCCCTGCTTCCACACCGATGGACGGGCTCTGGGTGAGCCTGGGACCCCAGAGCGGGGCTCTGCAGTGTGGGCAGTGAAGGAAGGTGCAGGCAGTGATTCGTCGCTATAGACAAGTCCGACGGGGGCGGAGGTGGGGTGGGGGGCAGAGACACTTTGACTCGGGGTTCTGGCGGGGCAGAGTCATGGGGACTGTGGGTGTGGCCAGGGGAAGAGCGAGAGAGCGGCAGCAGACCAGCTGACAAGGGACAAGAGATGCTGCGGGGGGGCCGCTGTGGACTGCCGGGGCTGCAGGTGGAGCAGGAACCGGAGCTGGGAGCCCCCTGCTGGCGCACGGGTGAGTGGCTGCCCAGCGGGGACGGGCGGGCCGCATCAGGCGCCCTCCTCCCATACACGTGGCTGACGTAGTCCCCCAGCAGGGGGCGCAGTGGCTTGACCTGCGGCTTCCCCAGCTGCTGCTGCAGTGTGAAGGGCTGGATAGGCAGCGTGGTAGGGCGCTGGTCTTTACTGTAGCGTATGACATCTGTGGAGGAGGAGCCCCCTGAACAGGTTAACAGAGCAAGCAGTTATTATACAAAACGACGTATTAAGTTACGTCGCTTTGAAGGTACAAAGCCTGAGGAAATTCCTCATAGGCATTATTTCTCATATCCAACAATAACAACAACATAATTAATAAACAAATCTTTAAAAGTTTATCCCTAATACATAATCTTAAACATTAAAAAAAAATACATATGTAAGGGTTAATGTACTCCAAGCCATGCAATATACGTTTTTAAACATATGGCTGTGGAGGCAAAGAGATAGAAATGTGTATATAAATTTAATATATATTCAGCCACTGTTCTACTAATTAACCTTTATGTACCTCCTGGCTTCGTTATGGGTAACCACAACATATTCAGTGATTACCTATTATAAAAACCGGACTTGTGTACCATTTTATTCAGGCAGGTTAAACAGGACTGGGCTAAAAGTGCATTAATCAGTAAATCATTCAGGTATTTAATCACTGACCACGGGTCCTGGTCCACAGGTCCTAGTCCTCAGCCTGTAGCTCTGTTATTGTCTAAGTGCCCTGCCGCAGTTTCTTTGCTTAAGTAACATTGTTTTAAGAATTAAAGATTATAATCGCATATTGATTTACTGCTGTTCGTCGCCTTGACAGCACTACACGTACATTTATATAAAATTAATCAACACAATTCAGATTCGATAATTAGACAGTGCTCTGGTGTAAAAATAAAAAGCAACAATTATTTATAAAACTCCAAAAGAACATAGAGCTCACAGAAGCTACCAGCGCTGGGAGAGCCAGTGCAAACATAAATCAGGATCTGTATTAAGGGTCCAGCAGACACTCTCACGGTTTTGGTTTAATTTAAATAGATGGACACTTTAACTTATTAAATGGTGTAACAGTAAGGTATGGTCTGTACAAACGTAATCAGCGCGAGTGAATGCAGCACAAGCCTGAAGCTCGCCAAAGGTCACATTTCTTCATGACTGCGGGGAAGTCGAGCTGATGACTCAGTTTACTGATCTCCCTGAAATGGCTCTGTGCCCAGCTGCAATATCAGTGACACAGCTAATATCAGCTCCTGATTCAGCAGCCATTACCATGGCTCATACACATACATATTCATTCCTCAATAGTCTCCCTCCCCATTAAAAATCCCTTATTTAGGTCCCTGACAAACAATACCCTTCTTTGCCATACCAGTGAAAGAGACTAAAATTCAAGACCACTGATGAAGTGACTGCAAATGGAACCAAATTGTAAAGGGGGGCGGCATTGTCCATAGATATCGGGGACAGGAGATGGGGATGAGCGCCTCTCCTCACCTTCAGCCCTGGAGCGAGCCTCACTGCAGCTCCGGTCCTCGTCGCTCAGCTGGCAGCGCGTGTGCAGTGCCGCATCGCGGCCGCTCTGGCTGCAGCAGTAGCTGAATGGCAGTGGAGGCAGGCTCCGGCTCTTCCCCAGCTGGGGCAGCTCTGGGATTGGGGAGAACTCCTGGGAGGACTGGGAGTTAGCGGAGGAGGCCTCGGTGCTGGATTTCAGGAAGGGGGAGCTGCTGCTGGCTGCAGATCCGCTCCTCCTCTTGCTGCGGGCTATTTCGGCAAAGGAGGTGACGCGAGGGGGTACCGGGGGCGAGGTTGGCAAGGCTCCCTCACTGAGGCGGACGGGGCAGCTCAGCATGCGCTCCAGGGAGGCGAGGCGGGCACCGGACCCCCGCGTCAGGTCCAAGTCCTGGTCATAGCTGCGGGAGCGGGGGCGGCCCACACGGCCCACCAGGGGGGGGGACACGTTGACATACACCTGGCCTTCTATCATGGCCTCTTCCGGCAGCTTGGTCTCATCCGGTTCCTCCTCACACTGGCAAACAAACACAATCAATGGGCAAACAGGAACGTCTAATGTTAACCAATCAGCACATTAGGACAATTAGCATTTACAGCTGTTACCTTAGCTGCAAACAGAGGCCTGAGACCTGGGCCATAAATTTCTATGGAGGGCCACATGCAAGCTTCACATGCCAGCAGGGGCCACTTTTAATGATTATTTTAATGTCCCATGAAGACTACAAAAATAGACATTAGATTTTACTTTTTCCTATTTTGAAAATATATTCACAAATCATGAACTTGACTTACACATTTATTATTTAATCAAAGAGATATCTGTGGGCAAAAATCTCCACCAATCTGAACACATCTGAATACACACACACACAATTTTTATCAATTAAAATGGAATACGAATAACATAGAACAGAGCAAAATACCCAATGTTTGTGCAACAGGCCTTCTAACATATTTAATTTGGACTAAATTAAACATTTAAAATAAAGTTTACTGAACATTCCCAATGGTCTCTTATAATCTCTTACAAACCAATTAAAATATTTTTCAAACCAACAAAGTATGAAAGTCCGCGGAATCTAACATGCACCAAATCTATGGAATGTTATTAAAGCTTTAGGAACATATCTGTTATTAAGTCTGTTAACCGGGCAGCTTTCTGTGGAATAATCTGCAGCATTATTCACAGGTGCAATGACATCATTAATTTTTAATTTTTTTTGGATATGAGAAATAATATATATGAGTAATTCCCTCAGGATTTACACCTGCAATGTTATCTGGGTATCTGATGAACCAAGGACATAAGTTTGGTTTTAGCGTTGGTAGTGACCAAATCAGCCCCCAACCCCCCACCCCCCGAAACACAAACAATGCTCCTACAATACTGGCAGGGACATGTCCCTAACATCCACACCCAAATCTACATACTAGTGACAACCATACATTAGACCTTCATGTATGATTTCACACCCCTTCCGTTTCCTCATGTACCTGGGATTGTTGCTCCTCCACTCCCTGCCCGTCCTCTGCAGGCTGCCTGAACAGGTAGTACTCTGTGGGCTGGACAGGACTGGCCCGGCCAGGATCCTCGGAGCAGCTGGTGATGGAGGAAGCGGCGGGACTAGGCGAGGACTGAGACGATAGGTCGCAGGTCACCAGCTTGTAGTAGTTCTGTGTGGCCAAGACCAACCGTGCCCGGCTCTGCAGGCACGAGGTCAGGTCACAGGCCTCAGAGGTAGGGGCCTCACATGGCGGGTGATACGAGTTGCAATTGGCATCTAGGGCAGGTGGGGGGGAAGGGCAGCCGCAGGGGGCGGGGATGCTGCCTTGGGGTTCGGCCGGCGAAGCGTGCAGATCCAGATAGAAAGCCCCACTGGGCTCGGAAGTCGAGCTGCCGCAGGAGTGTTCCGCCGAGGCGTTCAGGTTCAGCGGTTTGGCAGGAACCGCGTTGTTCATGCGGTTGTACATGGCGCTGAAGCTCACTAGTACGCCGTCCGAGCTGTTGCAGGACGAGTCGCTGGCGTAACTGGGCTGGTTCTCCGAGATCAGCGCGGGGATGCTGCCACCACCGCTGCAGCAGCAGCAGCGCTGGGGGGGCACTGTGCGCTTGACAAACTCTTCCTCCTCTTCCTCCTCACCCCACTCCTGTTCGCCACAGTCCATGGACAGCGTGGAGCCGCTGCTGCCGTGTCGGCGTTGGCAGTCCAGGCCAAAGAGGTTAAGGCTCTCCAGGCGGGAGGTGGCCTTCGTTGGGGCCAGGTGGCCCATGTCTGAGGGCCAGGTGCCAGCCGAGAGAGGAGCCCCTGCGTAGCCCGGCCCATGCAGCCGGAAAGGCAGCGGCTCCATGCCATTGTCCAGGCCGTCGCTGGAACTGTTATGCAGATGGAAAGAGCAATCCTCCAGGTAGCCGCTCAGGTCGTCCCCATCGTCTCCTTCATCTTCTTCTGCATCTTCTTCATCCTCGGCATCAAGGAGAAAGGGATTGTGTCGCAACGGATTGCGCTTACCTCGGGTGCGGGGGCGAGGCCGGGGCAACTCCTCAGAAGCATTGGAGGTGAAGGAGGAGGAGTCGCTGACAACGCTCCCGCCGCGGCCGCCGCCGCTCCCCTTACCCCCTCCCCCGCACCCTCCCGCACAACTGGAGCTGCTGCTGCTGGACGTCTGGATGAGGCTGCTGTACACCAGCGCTTCCCGGTGGAGCACATCCCGCTCAGGCAGTGAGGTGGTGCGGGTCAGACCCAGATGCTCGGCGGAGCCAAAGGGGTTGGTGCTTCCACCCGGACTGCAGCACTGGCCCCCCTGCACCTGGCAGTGCACCAGGGGGAGGTGGTGCACGATAAGTGTCTCCCCCGATAGCTTGGGGGGGCTGTCCATTGTCTATCCTGGGACTGGGACAGTGCACTCAGGCAGTCAAATTGAATGTGCTGATCCAATACAGGCTTTAATTTAGACGGCCAACACCAGGACCTGGGCTACGAGGCCCCGGAGAAAACAGACAACAGACTATAGTGCTTATGGTAGAATCACTGCATCCCAAGAGAACCATCTGAAAAGGGGAAAGAAAACAACATAAGCAACCAATTTTCAGCTTTTAAAAATAATACTACCACTCCAGTAGACATAAAAAACTATTAATTTATTTATTTATTTGCTCATTAGGTTAAGGTTATAATATACAATAAACGTGCCCATTTTGTGTTTGACACTATTTGCAAAAATGGAGATGGCAAATAATTCAAAAATCACAATAGATTTGCAAACATTTTTCTTGTCTAGTGACAGCCGTCTGATAACAGCCTCACCTCCAAGCACCCGGTTTCAAAGACAATCCAAAAATGGTTAAGGAACAAGGGTCTCTTTGTTAACGACCAAGAGAAGGCTGCCTGAAAAAAAGTTAATGCAGAAGTGTAAAGTACTAATACTTCACTACTGTACATAAGTAGGCATATTCTGGATTTGTACTTTACTTGAGTATTTTATGACATTTACTATCACTTTGCTACATTTCTGAGACAAATAACGACTTTTAATGTTTATAATTCATTAAGGAATCCGCCCCATACATTGATCTCTAATTTTCCACAGAATAAAAAAGTAATACCACTAATTTTCACAGCAAGCGCGTCCAGTTTCACGCGTCAAGTTTTTTTCTGAAAAAAAAAATTAAATATGTGACTCAGTTTTCCTTATTGTTGCAGTGCTGTCTTGAGTAAATTTAAAAGGATATGTTGGCTTTTTTTACTTAAGGACTTTTAAAACCAGGTGATTTTTACTTGAATAGTATTTTACTGAATGACTATCACTTGAGTAATACCTTGGTGTGGTGTCTGCGCTTATACCCAGACCTTTCAATGTCGACGGCATAATACCGTTTTATTCATTCTTTGACCTAATGACCTTCTCTCCTAGTTTTAAGGTTAAAAGAGGATAAGTCCTGAGCTCAGGGCAGGAATGGTAACATGGAGCAGACAGCAAGGGTGCCTTTAAATAAGGTACCTCAGTGATCAGAACTGCTCCAGTTACTACAAAAGTTACTACTGAACTCATCTTCATGATTCTAGAGTTTGTCTTGCTGTTTTATTGCTTTAATCAGAAAAATAAATTATAGCACAAAAGATCCACCATCATTTGTTGACCACCTCGTCCAGTAATAACGTCCAAGATGTGGGTCAGCAATACATATAAGGCAACATAAACTCATCATCTGATTCCAGGTGTGCTGATGATATATTTACCATAAATGACTGAATCCTATGGAAGCAAAGAGCTGTTGGAAAGAACCACAATATGGGCAACATGGTGGCACAGTGAGTAGCCTGTTGACGAATTAGGGCAGGGCAACCAAAAATCATATCTCCTTATTTTTAGGTAGAATAGCGATACATAATATATACTGATGAGCCAAAACCTTTGTAACCACCCTGACGTGAAGCAAACAATGTTAACTATCTCGTAAAAACTGTATGTCAAGGTCTGGGAGATATCCGATGGTAAACTAACACTCAGTACACATAGTCGACAGAGTACCACGAGGGATAGAGCCTTAATTCAATCTGACATTGATGAGTCTTGGCTACTCAACCCCCGTTCGGTGGTTCATGGTTTTTTGGCACTATACAGAAGTCAACGTTACTTATGGCCACAATTCGATAAGCAGATTAATAGTATGCCTAAAATATTAATGAGGTGTATTAGGTGACGCCCAAAAGTTAGCATTCTGTATAAATTGAGCATATCCTTATGCTTATTAAATTTGGTTAGCGGAGTACGCCGCATGCGACAGCTTTGGAAGTGATAAGGGATGAACTCGTAGTGAAGGACGGGACAGTTCAGCAGCCACATCTTATAAAAAAAAGATATTGTGGTTGAAGAAGGTAATAGGATGTTGGTGGTAAGCACACTTTTTGCAGTTTAAACTCCAACACACTTTTTGGTAAATATTTCAGTTCATTAATAATTTTTTTATTTGGTGTCTGTTTTCATTTCAGTTTTAGTTTACGATAATTACGCTGGTCCTAACAAGTCCAACGCGCACGAACACACACTGGCATTGTCAGTCAATGTAGAATAAGTCCAGATTATAGCGTAAACATTTTCTCAAACACTCATTCAATGGAAGTTCTGAGGTAGCAGGCAGACAAATTTATGGCCTTAATAATGAGTGAATTTAGCACCTACAATGATGAAAGATAAGGTGCATGAACATGAACGTACACCACCTACGGTGGTGCTGCCTTTTCGAGGTTCCCACAGTCATCCAGAATAGCACCTGTGTGTTGTCTCTTCAGGTGCCCATGCGTAGCACCAGGGCCGCTGTGGTATGACATCGAAACTTTATATATAATTAAGCATTTTAGATGTAAAAAAATATGATGCATTAACATTACTGATGATGCATCCCAGTGCATCCAGAAGACGTATCTTGCACACAGTAGTATTCTTTTAGTCAAACCTTTCAAAGCCATGTTATAATGAAGTGTTTTAGAAATCAAAAAGGTAATTTCGTTAAAAAGATGTATAAAAGATGCGTCAATTTTAAATGTTGATGTCAATGCATTGTCAGTGTCAATGTCATCGGCTACTTTGGCTAATCCCGGCAGCCCTATTGTCAATGCAGTCAGATCTGTACCCCTGCCCATTTCATCTGCAATCAACATGTCTATGAGTTATACGTACCGAATGCCGTCTAATGTATCCCAGACCTTCACATAATTGAGAGAGTCAACATTATTCACCATCACAAGCGGGAGGTCATAATGTTTTGGCTGATGAGTGTATTTTCAGTTTTCCAAATGGGCTAAACGTTCAGTTGTAAGTCAAAGCCACCTGTGAGCTGTCACAAACACTTTTATGGAAACAGAATGTGATCAAGACTTAATGTAAATACAAGATTTCCTTCCCTGTTTGGAAATATACAACACCTATTCAGTACAGAAATATATGTTGGAGCCATCTGCCATTTTTTTAAACCAAAATGCACAAAGCGACAAGGTTTCTTCAGCTTTTCTCTTCACCAGCTTCTGCGCGAGATGCTGAATGTTTTCATTTTTTTGTGGGAATCTGTGCAACATCATAATTGAAACTCGCACTGTATGCATCAGGGAAAAAATACTATAGCCTTTGATTATTCATCTTTGCTTATATCCCCCTGTTTGGGTATTAAAATAGCACATGCATCCACACAACCAAAGAAATAATAATGCGGCATGATTTTAAAATTAACACTAATGCATTAACTTTGATAGCCTTCATTTCAATATAATAAAAGTATATCAATATAAACAGTATTGTCTCATCCTATATCTCATTTGAATAAGTTCTCATTTGAACGTACACCGCTATACCGTAAAAACTCAATAACCCCGCAATCCTAGTTTGAATCCCACCTGCTTCCTGCTTGTGTGGGATTTGCATGTTTTCCCTGTGTAACGTGTTTTTTCCTCCAGTCCAAAGACACGTGGTTCAGCTAAGGCGCATCTCTAAACTGGCCCTAGTGCGAGTGCCATCCAGGCTGTGCTTTCTGCTGCCCCATCACAGTTAGAAGACGGATGAAGGAGGTAAGATCATTCCCAGAGTTGGATGCAGAAACATGGCTTTGAAAGGTTTGACTAGAAGAATAATACTGCAATGGTAATGCACCATATTTTAGAAATATAGCCTGGAGGTCTAGAAACAACAACTTTACATGCAGCATGATCTCATGCAACAAAGAATGCTTAATAATGTACTGTAGATATCACCTAAAAAGACAATCACCCCTTCTACAGGAGAAAACTATAGGAAGCATACTATAACTGCACCAAGCAAAGCTTGTTTTTGCCCACACATTACAGACAAAACAAACAAACCACAATATCCAGACAGAAAAAGCTCCTCCCTGTCTAATGGTACAGTGAACTTGCCAAGAAACATGATGCAATACGCTTTAACCCACGCAGCTGGGACTCAGATAAGCAGCCACATCATACAGTCACATTGCAGTGAATCCTGACACAAGTCACCGCTAATTTAGGTTTTTGGACGTGGTTAGAGGAAAGGGTCCATCAATCATGCTATACCCCTGGAGTTCGCTGACACGTGCATAGAAACAGCACAGGTGCTCAGGAAACACTAACCATCTTCAGACAAGGGCATCACCCCTTGACGCCCACAACAGTATTCAGTTCTGAATCTAATTCTAGGCACTGTAAAACAGATTCTCACGTTTCAGTGCCAGCTTTTCACGGCTGACCTATACTGTGAAAATAACATCCCTTCCATGAATCCAGAGGCACCTCCCTCCACCAGCCTGTTAAAAAAGCTCACAAAGCCAGGGGCGTATGGGGGAGGGGGGAGCGGTGCGGAGGAGAAGGAACAACGGAGCTGTCACCCTCCCCCTCCAACACAGGACCCCATCGTCTCGGCCTACTGTTACCGAGGACCCTCTCTGTCCGGAGCTCCAGGTGAGCTGAGACACGATTCTACAGCTGCACCAAGTCTGCGCCTGTACGTCAGGCCTTTCTAGCTTAGTCAGTCTGCGTCTGCACAGCAGCCGGAGCACTGCAGAGGAAATGCGCATTCTGCTGCACGGCGGCCTGGATGACAGACGTGTGTCCGGCCCGCACGCACAAACACACGCTAAGGCACACATACCAGGGCGATGAGACGCGCTCCTCTCGCTGTCCAAACAGCCTCGCCTGCTCTCTTTATTCCTGCGGACGGGGAGCTGGGCCGCTCCCACAAGCCCGTGGCTCTATAGCAACAGCATCACTGCTCGCACTGAGCATGCCCGGGGATTCGGAACATGCCAACAGATCAGAAATGGGGGGGAGGGGGGTTGCTTTCTCTATCAGCATAAGAGCTGGAAAAAGGAAGCCAGACAGAGAGACAGATGGGGAGACTCGAAAAGGCTGCATAGGTTGGAAATGAAATAAAACAGTAGTGGAGGAGGATAAATTATTAATATAATTATGTAATTATGTACATAAACATATATACATAATTACAGGGAACATAAAGCAAAACACCTTCAGTTTCATTAAAAATGGATGCCATGTTCATATGATC